TAATAATATTGCCACGTTCCGGTTTCGAAGCTATGCAGCAATACACACATTACCGCTTGGCGGCAGAAATAGGTACCTACCACCTTGGCAATATGTTGTACTCAGTCATTCATTCGAACTCATTCACAAGCTTTATTGCTACTAAGTCGTCTTTTGTAATAGTTTAAATGTAAAACATCTTTATTTATATAAACAAATTACACTTGAAATCGTGGAAATTATTCATCTCTCCTCATTCATAAGACAGACTACTTTATAAAGTATGCGCAAAGGAGTACGTCCTTGAAAATAAAGAACAAAAAAATATTTATCATAATGAGATGTATAAATTTGAAATTGAATTACAAAAGCAAGAAACACAACTCAATTGCAGTGTAAACTGCAACAGAGAATTACATAATGATTTTGCACTAGGCTAGGGCTGTTAGGCAAGCATTCAAAGTATCCTTGTTACTGATTAAAGAATAACATGATGGAAAAAAGAACTATACCAAAAAGAAGTTAAGGTTCAATTTATGTGTTATGATTATACATGAAGTGGCTCAATAGAAACAAAAAATTATTAAACTAGTTATAAATTTAGTAAATAAGCTGTGCATGACTAGAATAGACATGATTAGACATGAAAGTAAAAAATGAAAATTTAAAAAAGTTTGAGGGATTATTATTTCACAAATTTTTGTTAAATAGTACTTAAAATTATCTTATTTAAGTATTTTTAACAACACGAAGGCTCCGTTTGAAACTTTTTGTGCAATTGAGAGTCGTTTCGATCCAGCAGTCAAAGTCAAAAGTTTTGTAGGACTATGTTTATCTAAGAAAATTGCATCACTTTAAAAAAAACTTTTTTAAATCTAGTTTTAAGAGGTCTGAAACGTTTGGGCGTCTATGTCGGCCTCGTAATGTATGTATACATATAAATAACTATCCTACTTTATCTATCACTATTCCCATGTCAGGTATTGCTCCTCATCAGAAAGCAAGACCTCACATAGGAATATAGAGCTTCGGCACTCTTCGTTAACGGCTTGCTCAGCATTAAATTTAGCTCTCCTACCTGATACATGTCTTTTAATTGATATTGGGCCCGACAGCCCGCATATCTATCACATTCTATTAAATGAAGCATATCTTCCAATTTGTTACAGTATTGGCATTGAGGGAATTCTACCCTCTATTCCCTCTATTCTATATGAGATAGTAAAATTTATTTAATGAAATGTGACCAGAACGCAGTCTAAGAGCAATTATTAACAGTTACTTTGATAGGCTACCCTCCACGAATCAGTGCTTTCTCGGAGGACGCAATTGAATAATTTTGTACCATATACCCCTTGTCACAGATATCTCGTCATAGCTTAGCCCATTGATCCATATTTAGGTCCCTTACAAATGGGATAAGTTCTGTGGCAAAGGGTTATACCTGATGGTTCCATCAGCTCGGAAATAGCCTACCTTGCTAGTCTATCTGCTATATCGTTTCCTAGAAGTCCGATATGTGATGGTATCCATTGAAGTACTATATTAATATTATTGGACAATAGGTTAGTCATTAATTTTAATGCCTCATATGTTATTGGTATGCCTCGACCTCCAAAGACACATCAAACCAAGTGTTGAAGTCATAGATTTAGTATATCCATAGATTGGCCCTGAAGTATTGGAGACAAGACCAAACCAAAAATACATCAGGATGCGTATAATGTGTATGTGTGCGAGATAAATAGTATTGCAACATCCACTATTTAACTTTAATATCGATTAACATATTACACCGGCATTTCACTTCGTCGTATTCACCAAAATGTCTTATCGCAAAACGCCGAGACGTTAATTAACTAAATAATTAATGATTCAATATAAAATTAAGAAAGGTACTATCACCTTCTGGCAGTGCCATAAGATGGTAGGTAAACAATGGGGACTTTCACCCAAGATAACACTATGGCTCTACAAAACGGTGATAAGACCCGTGATCAGTTACGGCGCGATAGTATGATGACCACGAACCAAGCTGACGACCGCAACCGACAAGCTGGACAAATTCCAAAGACTAGCCTGTATGGCGACGATTGGCTGCATGAGGACAACTCCAACTGCGGCCCTCGAAGCGATGCTGGATCTGCGACCCCTCCCACTGTTCATTAGACAGGAAGCGGCGTCAACAGCAGTGCATATAAACAGAGCAGGCCCTTCGAAGCACATGCATATGTGTACCAAATTTCAAAATAATCAGTCCAGTAGGTTTGGAGTAAATTGGCTGTGACAGACGGACAGATGCACACACAAGTGATGCTATATGAGTATCGTATTTCGGAACAGAACAGAACTCTAACAACAACAAATCGAGACGAGACGAGAGTAGTACTACACAAAAATCCATTAATTGTAAGACATACTGGCATGAATAATGTGGGTACAGAACCAGAACGTAACTTTACTCTTTGCTTGTCTCTAAAGGAAAAGCATTTTTCCTCAAAGTGTTTGCTGCATATTTTTGAAAACTTTTTGGGAACCCAGTCTTCTCTCTTTAGCATTATAAGCCATTTCTGTCGTACTTCAATGTTTTGAGGAAATCTGAATCAACAACAATAATTAACATTAAAAAATGGGTGCCTCAACTACGCTATTAAAAGAAGTTTTCGTTTTAATGTAGACAAAAAATAATGCACTAATGCAATATTAATTAAATATAAAGTACTAAGACCAGAAATTTCTGATTCAATCATATTAAGCAGTAGTAGTAGAGATGATTTCGGCTGTATGCAAGCCACGCCTTTGCCTTTCTTTTTTTCAGATAATGACATCTCGATAACGTATAATGGATTGCGTCAATCTCTATGAAAGTGGGGTTATGAATTTCAGAAATTCACATTATATTTGATATATTTTTTAATTGAATTCGTATACATTTGGGTTATTAATGCACTTGAATGGTATAATTTTACGGATATATTTATGTAAAAAACTTTTGTGGTAGTGCTTTTGACAGCTAAAAATTTAAATAGTACTTACATGTGAAATGTACAATTCTGCGAGTTTTCCTTTTTAGATGAGTTACATCCGGGCACTGAACACGTTACCATGACTAATAAACATCCGTTTAACACTATTTCACATTTTAAAACCAATTATTTTTCAAAAATAAACGAAATTTGTTTCGTTGTCAGCTGACCCTAGGTTCATACAAGCTCATAGCGTATAATGAAGTGGTCTCGTCTACCCATCTCGCTCTAACATACGTGTATACTAACGCTCTTTCACTTGCATTGCCAATCTATGGGTATCTATATACTAAATCTATGGTTGAAGTGCACTTTTAGAGTCAGTGAGAATAATGTGAATTCAAACAAAATTTTGAATCCACAGAACTAACGAAGGATAATGTTTTCACTATGGCGAGTTACTGCGCTCTCATTATGCATGCTTTGTAACACAATTTAAGTTTGAATTTAGCTAATTTTTTAGTTTAAAAAAAAATTTGTTGCAGGACTCTCAAGAACTCTAGCCTGTAGATAAGAGACAAACATTCTCTCAGCTAAGCTAATCATTACGCAATCCTTCCAAAGAACTGGACAATTTTAGCCCCAATACCGAAAAATAAATAATAACTATTAATTAATGTTAACAATACTCAACACTTACCATTCTTGTAAAGGATAAGCATCTATAGCGCCATCTGCGGCGTGTGTAAACACGTAGAACGCCGCGTTCTCAGATACGCCGCCCTCGCGGGTACCTTTGAATCTGTTTAAGAATTTCGTTTTTAAGTTGTAAAAAGTATTAGCATGCAGCATTTTACCTATATGTATATAATTTTGAATAGAAATGGCACCCTTGCAGCATCCGAGAAACTGCATTGTAGTTAGGTATAGCTTTATTTTGGAAAAAGTTAACTAATTGCATTGAATTGTTGTGATATGATAAAAAACAAAATTAAAAATCCTGAGAAATTAGACAACTGTTTTTTTTATAAATTAGATCAGCCATTTTAGACATAGAGAGGAGCAGAACAACAAGACCTCTCCCCTTAACGCTTTTATCTTCTATGATCCATCATGGAGAAAAAAGACTATCTTAGGGAAAGAATATTTTAGGGAACAATAATCCTGATGGTTATTATTGGTACCAAATGTGACTTACTTCTTGCCAGTCTTACCGCCGACCTTGAGAATCCAGGGTTGGTCTTCGGGCTTGTATTTGCGCGAGATGATGCCGAACTTTTTGCGTCGTGCCTCCTCGCGTACGTCGCGCCCGTACTCGGAGCCCGCACCGAATCTGTACAAGTATAGTTCTTGTTTAACATTTAAAACAGACGGTCTTTGTCGTTTTTATCGTGACAGCATCTATCAATCCAGCAGTTTTGGACTGGGGATGTGACATGTCCCCAAATTACAGCTTGGCCATACACACATGTGAAAACATTATGCAAACTTCCCCACTAATTAAGACATAAATGGCAAACTTGTGCCGTCAGTCAGTCATTTTATCGAGGATTCAAAAACTTCTTTTGCAAATTCAGTATTATATCTTTTTTGCTTATATGTCATCAGTACAATCACCAGCTAAAATCAATCAACAGTTGTTACTCTCTGTAATAATAATAAAATTTGCGAACAGGACAATAAATAAGGTATCAGATTTTTAATGAATTTATTAATTACATTACTTATAACAAAAAACAAAAAGGCTTCCTTACTTTGGCATATCCTCCTCTGTTCCTTTAAACTCTCTGATGTTGTTCTCTCTCTCCATCTTGACATGAGTCCATTTGGCAAAGTCCACATTCAGTGTAGCATTGAACCGCATCACATGGTACTTCTTCTTCCCATTCTTTGGCACTCGGATTTTGAATTCTTGAATTGATGCATTAGACTGAAGATGCCAATAAGAATAAGGCTTATTATAAAATAATAGGAAGATGTGACATGTCACCAAATATGTTATAAAATGTACAACAAACTTTTTTTTTAGTTTGTGGCATACTAAGATTATGCCATGACATTGCCATAAGGATTGCATGATAGCATGGTCTAAATGAGTTGAGTAATATTATTTAACATTCTTTATGCATTTTGTATGAGTTCTGGACATCCTGGTTTTAAATCTTATAGACCTAAGATTGACTGACACAGAGACAGCGTAGAGGAAAGAAAGAAACGTTGACTACTGATAATCATGTTATTTTGACAGAAATCAACAATAACTATGTTATTTAGATAGGTACACTATCAAAATATCTAAAGTATCAAAAATACTGGAGCGTGGTTCAGTGACTTGACAGGCTGAGTGACTCTCAAAAATGTTACCAGATACATTGACTTACAATTATATGGACGTCGGGTCCGCGCTAAAAGGTGTCCGAACTTATAGGGCGTTAAAATCGTATACAGAGCGTCATTCACGCTTTAGTCTTCGTTTGTTCTACTGACAGCGAAGTAAGCAAAATTAGACAGTACTGCGATGACATTACAATTTAAATTCAACGTTTTAGCTTTTTCATATTCCTTTACATGTCACTACGTTTAAATAGGTTGACTTGGGACATTTTTTTCGTGGTTTTTGTATTAGACCCGTCGTCCATTTATTGTAATTGTAAGTCAATGACCAGATAGTACAAATGGTATGTTTACTTTTTTTTACATTTTTGTTTTCGTATAGAGGACATTTTAGTAACCTCAAATTGCCGTAGTCAAAATAATATTTCAAAAATCTGTTTAAGTACTGAATCAACTAATCAACCTAACCTATAATCTAGAACAATTATAACAGAAGATTCTTCGTCTAAATAATGATAAGTATTTATATAGACGAACAAATTACGGAAATGCAAATAAAACTTACAGATGTTCCTGGACTCGTCATCTTCGGTGAAAATTTCAAAGAAACCCGCAGATACAATTTTTAGAACCCTACGAAAATTATTTACGCAATAAAATGTAATTCATACTTATCTAACAGTAACGTAGCGTTAATTTACAAGAAAACACAGGAAAAGAGATACGACAATTTGGCAAAAATGCCAAACGTCAAATCTAGACCTGGGTAACGTAACTACGGAGTCTATTCAAATGATCCGAAATCGCGAGCGGTTCGATTCCCTCTTTTTTTTCTTATTTCTCTTGGCTCTTCGCAGTAAGTGTTTTAGCCACTTTCAAAGTGTTTTGACTAACTTGTTTTTTAAACAGGGAAACTTTTATAATATCATGGAATGTAATTTGGAAACTGGATTCGAAAGTTGGAGAAAAAGTGAAAAAGGAATCAGGCGAGGAATAATGAGATGTAAATAAACATGGTATAAATAAAGAATAAATATAACAAGTCCGCGGAGGTATTAAAACCGGGACCGGGATTGGCGCATTCGGATCACAACTCTTTTTGGTTTCTTTCGAAAGGTTGGTTCGTTCGTTGCTGTGCCTCTCTTTCGGTTAGAGAGCGATCGCGAGTAGATGTTAGAGTGAGACATTACTCGCTAGATTGCATGGCAACGGCATGTCAAATGAAAGAGACAATTATAATTTTATGCTCGTTTTATACTTGATTTAACACTGTGTTGCAAGCAATTTTCACTGTTGCACTCGCGCTCGTTCGTTCGTTAAGTGGTCAGTACAGTAATAGCTCTTAAGACCATCGTATAATTAATAATTTTGATTGCGCGCACCTTTTTTCCAAATACGTTATAATTTTGTCGTTATTTGTTTACGTTTGAGCTTCTGGAAACATTATAATTACAATTTGAGGAAGTTTAAGTTAAGTGCGCCCCGGAGTTTTCATTTATGTTTATTTTTATATGTTTAATGTACAATCAAGAGCACGTCAAGCTCGATACTTAAAACTTAAATGCAATTTTATGCCGCTTACGATAAGAACAGTCCACAGTACAAAGTTTCAAACTTGATAACGTACACACTCAACATAGCTCCGCACTAGGAAAACCCTGTGTCGCGGGTGCCATAGACACACACATAGACAACCACAAATTACACCCAAACTCACGAGAGAAATAAATGTCAGCCATACAAATATTTCTCCCGGCCCGGGAATCGAACCTGGGACCTCTGCGTGGCAGTCCGGCATGGTAACCGTTCGACCCCGGAGGCAGGTAATTGATGTACTCTTGACTGTACTATTGGTTTGTGTAAATATTGGACGAATTGTGATTGCGGACAACTAGTGCTACGTACTATTTGTGCTACTTTTAGATTGTGTGTAAATAAACTTTCCTAATGCGTAAACTTTGTATATTCAATTTTCTATTGAAACTTTATTGTTACTGTTTTACAAATTGTTACGGTACCTACGGACAAATAAACATGAATTCAATGCGGAAAAAGCGAATTTCATTTGGGAACATTTTCACCAGATAGATAGTAAACATACGAAACGTCTACCTATTAATTACTTAGTTAAATAAAATATTGCCAAGAGAATTCACTCAGCCTACGTCAACCAATTTCCAGGTCCTCCTGTGCAGAGTTCGCAACCATCCACCTCCAAAGAATCAATATGGGCTGACTTCGATGACTGCAAGTGCTGAAGTTTTGTGTGCCTTCTCTAAATATATTTAAAAGCGTTAAATCGCACCAACACGAGATTGACTAAAATACCTATCTTAAAATGTCCAATTTAAATAGTACTCATGCAGCTGAATGAAAAAAAGTCTATCGGTATATTAAAAACTCGATCATTGATTGAATTGAATCCGGAGCGATTTTCATTTGGAGTTGTGAGATTCGATGGGAAGCCGGTTCCGATAAGAGGATTCAGATTCATTAAGAGGAGTCGGTACCGACAGCGGAGTCGGATTCAGTGATTCGGATCACTGCTAGGAGTCGAAATTACCCATGTCTAGTTAAGTCCAAAGAGGTTCCCTTCTGTAGTATGATCCACAAAGTACTATAATAGTTCCTTTTTTTTCCATCCTCTTACGTCAAGTCGACAAACCACTAAGGATCGTATTCCAGAACTGTACTCAATGCTCAAGTCAGGATTTGAGCAGACTTGAGTATGATTTCAAGCACTGGAAAAACGACCCTAATGGCAAATATCGATATAGTTTCTAAGATACACGATATCGGATATTCGATATTGCCACAAGGTATAGTTTCAATAACTATGTATATACGATTTGTAACGCCCATTCCTAGTTACTATGATGTTACCACAGACAACATTGATCTGCATTACGCTATTTTGTGGAATTATAAACTTGAATTCTAAGCGAACCGGACCCCAGGACCCCGATTCAGAACACTTCGATATTTTTTTTAACCGAATCGTTCGATTGGATATTATTCTTGAATCGACGGGCGCTTTCCGAGCTATTCAGAACATTCGAGTTAAACGTTCGATTCAGATACGATATCGTTCTCCAACAGCGTTTACGGCGTTAATCGGTGAAATAGATTATATGAGAAATTAAAATCCTTTTACATACATTTTTGTCACTTTAAAGGCGACTAGAACGGACTAAATGTCGACTTTTACTTGACTAGTCTAACCTCGAAAATTTAAGCGGTCGTCTCGCTGCAATAAAGGTCGCAAATACTAGATTTAATAGCTATACATTTTGATAACCAGTCTCTTTTAGGAAATAAAACCATTTTACGTGAGGTGTTACAGATAAGATCAGAAGAGTGCTCCTGAGGACTGTTCTGATCTTATCAAGATCTATCAAGACCTATTTCAAGCCCCTGAGGAAGATTTCTCAGTTCTTGAGACCCGTGAAATGTAACATCCCCTTACAGGATGCAGGAGTTTACAAGCTTGACTGTGCCATGCGGTCTCTCTTATATTGGACAAACAAAGCGATGTATTTGTACCCTTGTACCCGTGTCAAAGAACATAATATAGCTGATGTCAAACACCGTCGCGTAAACAAGTTTACAGTCTGCGAGCATGTCATGGATAAACCTACACATTGAATTAAGTTTGACAAACCCCAGGTCCTTGCAAAAGAAGTCTCTCTCTCATCTCAGAAGCCTCTTCTACCCAGGTTGCTGCGAGAGACCATTGAAATTAAAAAACATCCTAATTTCAACAGTGAAGATGGTTTCTCCGTACCACCAATTTGGGATCCAGTATTTCCGCTGATGAAAAATCCCAAACAGACATAAGACTTCAGTACTAATTAATATGTATTAATTTATTCTAATTTCTATTATTAATTAATAACAAATTGAACTTAATTAAAATTCATTCAATAAAATAATTTGTAAAACTTAGTGTAGCGTACGTAAATTGGAATGTTTTCTTTGTAAAATTAAAAATTAAGTATTTAATTAATAACTTTTGTAACTATAGTGGAAAAAATAGGGGTGGTTTGCATTAATATTAGACATAACTGGTTGATGACTGTACCACCTCAGTCAATCGTGACCATGGGACCTGTAAAGGGCCCGAAACGTCGGTTTGTTTGAAAAACCAAATATACGCGATTTAAATCCGGAAAAATAGTTTCATTTCCTATGTGTAACAATCACGAAAACCTAAGAATTCGACAATCTCGCTTACTTTAGAACAGTGTTGGGCAAAATTTAATTGCTCAGGCAATTAGATTGAAATTAATTAATTGTCAATTGCGAAACAGCAATTAACAATTGATTGATTAATTGTTAATTGCTGTTCTCGCAACTAACAATTAATCAATTGTTAATCGCGTATATCTACAATTAACAATTGATCAATTTTCAATGTTTTTGATTAACAATTAAAACTGTCAATTATGATAAATTTATAGGGTGAATGAGTGAGTGGGGAGTGAATGGGGAATGAGGGGAGTGAGTGAGGAGTTAGTGAGTGCCTCCGTTGCCGAATATAGCATGGGCAATATAGTATTTGGGGTGCTCTCGTAACGAATATGGCACTCATTTCTAAATCCAAGATGGCGGGCACGACTTCAAATTGGGAGTGAGTGGGGATTGATTGGGGAGTGAGAGGGGAGCCATCTTGGATTTAGAAATAAATGCTATATTCGTAATTAGCACCCCCAAATACCTTGAAAACGATACCAAACTTGCCATTATTAGAAAAGTCGTGCCATATTCGTTACGAGAGCACCCCAAAATACTATAGTGCCTATGCTATATTCGACCACGGAGGCACTCACTCACTCCCCACTCAATCCCTATTATTTGAAAAGTCGTGGCTGCCATTATGAATTTAGAAATGAGTGCCATATTTGTAATGTCACTTTTATTCGGTAGTTACGGTTTTAATTGTTAATTTCAATTGTTTCTTAGGACAATAAAAAAAAATTGCATTTAATTTAATTGCAATTAAAATATATTCAATTAAAATCAATTGCAATTAAAATTAATTGCGACGTTGCAATTGATTTTAATTGCAATTAAATCAATCAATTTTTTAGTCAATTCAATTTCTGATTGAAATTTAATTGATTAA